TAGAAAGTTATCTCCAGAGCACGCACTTAGCCAGACAAAAGAACCGGGTCAGCGCACCTGTGCCCTAATTAGCCCACCAACAATGCGCCCGCCGGATGTCGGCTGGCGATTTTTTTTTTTTTTGGCTGAAATGTCACCCTTCGTGTTTTGGGTACACAGCTTATAATACATCCACTGTGGGCAAACAAGGAAATACTGCTTTGCACGTGTCAAGCTGGGGCGTGTGTATGCCGCGCCCACGCCCATTATTTGCATAAACTTAAATATGCATTTACAATTCAAAGACCCATATTTCATTGAATAAAGACATTAAATATCATAGGTTTTTTCCTTGGAGTTTTTGGTTGTTGAGAATAAGTTTATTTAAAATGATATAAAATCATTTCCTCAATTCTTGGTGACAAAAGTGCGAGTTATTATTATAAAAGTGATTTTTTTATCCTCAATACTGTGACTAGGAAGTACACCGTTTTGTAGACTTCAAGAAGCTTCCAGTAATAGATATGCTCGGTTCCTGTTTGCGAGTTAAGGGTCGGAGAGTCACAATAGCTGACGCCACCCGCCGTGTTTGGGGTTCACGGCTTAATACGTCCCCCATGCAAACAAGGAATCCTTCACTCTAGCTTCTCTGGTTATTGTTAATCTTTAAATTACTGACGCTGAAGAACAACTGATTGTTGTCAAATACCTGACTTACCTGTGAAGAAATCATGCATGGCATGCTGACGTGCGCATGTACGTTGACTACATGTACATGTATGGCATATTTTTGCTTTTGAGGGAATTTGGAATGGCCAAATAACCGAATATTCGAATATTTGATCGATTGGAAGGTCGAATATTCGAAAATTCAATTATTCGAATTGACTCAGCCCTAATGCAAACAAATGTGAAGTATTATTAACTTCTTTGTTGGGTAGTTGATAATGTTACCGTTGGGGCTATTGGTTTAAACCTGCTCATGCTTTTCAATATCCACACCGAAAAATGGTTTTGGTTATGCGACATCAACGAAAAAAATATGCCAACTAACGATTCACGATTGTTACAATTGTATATAATAAATGTAGCCAGCCTCGCTGATCTGACAGTAGATAACCAGTGGCCAGCTGTGCGTGACATAGTTTAGCAGTACGTCTTTCCTGAGATCAACCACGTGGGGGCCTGGGGACATGCATGGGTTGGTTGGCGGGTCCGGCTGGGATCGTTTATTCAGAAATATTTCCTTCAGTCACTCCATCAGACGTCACTGTTGTAAAATGTTGCACATTTCCCCTCAAATACACAAAACTATCAAACATGTACATGTAACTTTAATTTCCGAGACGTCTTCTCGATTTGTTGAGCATTTTAACAAGTTAAATCTCTATCAATCTTCAACTATACATCGCCTGCAAGAGATGAGAAAACAACAAACAACGCCTGCAAGAGATGAGAAAACAACAAACATTATTTTATCGCAACATTTCCAAAGTCTCCTTGTAAATTTCAGTGTGGCCGATGTTTCTTCGGATATTATTTGAGCAGTTGCCATTATCCACCGTCGTCACCGCACAGGTCTATTGTACTACCGTGCTGTGGGCACCCAGCGTGACCATTTCATTGTGCTATTGTTAGGCAATTTCGGGTGTGATCCCGTGGTCGGAACGGGGCCCGGGCAAACGCAGGCGCCCAGGGGGATTAGGAATAGGCCAGTTCCTCCCGTGCGCTCTCATCGGAATGGGAAAAATCCTTTTGATCTCCTCCCTTAAACAGGCAGTCATTACAGGGCCTTAAAAACTAATACAATCAGTAAGGCAAAGACCTTCTGTTTGAAATAACTGATAATGTTGGGAAATGCAAAAAGGGCTTAAGAGCTTGTAGGACCTTTTTGCACGCACCCTTTTGTCCTTTTGTCATTTCTTTCAGTGTAATATTGGGAAACACCAAAAGGTCTTATTTTTTTAATTAGCTGTAATTAAATAATTAAGTTACAAAAAATGGCAAGTAATACTTAACTGTTAAGTTAAAGAACCCCCTTTTTCAATATGCATAATATAAACTATTTAAATAACATTTTGCAATTTTCAAAGCAGTGTGAATCTTCAAACTCGATTATCTTGAAATACTGTAAAATGCTGAATAGGGCTTATAAGTCCTTTCTGCTTTGACCCGATGAGTTATTCTTTTTCTCCACCGATGTTTGTTTGGTATTTTTACAATCCAAATTCGTCCTGTTATGCCGTGTAGTCTGCATGGCACCGTATGTAGGCTGCAGTCACTGGTTCTGGTCCTACATCATAGGTTTGATTCTGTTAGCATGCGGTGGGAACCAGCAATTACCGATGGAACTGCTGCTGCCGCACGGAACATCGTACGGCCGCATGGCTTCCATGTCGTCCATCACAAATGCGTCAGAAATATGGGCATTTTCGTCAAGATTTATCGTGTCAAGATGAAATAATATCATATGTAACGATTATATTGAGGATTTTAATGGCGTGTGTAATATTATACTGTGCGTATCAGGGGCTGAAGAAATGTGATCGGCATTTTATTTCCTGTGTGACTCATTATACCGACAGCTCGGTCACTTCTACCACGCGGTCTTGGTAAAATTTCCCGTGTCGAAAGTCCAAGTGCGGACAGTGGTCACATTTGACCATTTTTCATTTTACCATCGTCTCGGTAACACCTTTAAAAAAAAAGTCCAGTGCGGACACGGCTTAAAATGTCAGGGTCCTTGTCAATTTTTACTGGATTAGATTGCCAATTGCAAAACACGCCGAAAGGTGAACATAGGCTGTTACTAATGCAAAACGGTTGCCAGTGATGTGTAGCCTAAATAAAATGGGACACAAGTTGACACGATACCGGAATTTGATGAAAGGGGCAGAGATAAAACTGAATAAAACCTGACTGGATAAACCCTGGTACATTATACTGACCACAGAGAAAAAAGTAGATGCAGCTACGTTTTTTTTTTTTAATACAGTAGACTCCGGCAAAGACGGCACTCTTGGGACCAGAGAATTTGTGACGGCTTACGCGAATGTCGGCTTCTGCTGAAAGACGTCATTTTGCCGACTTACACAAACACACAAATTGAATCACGGAGTGAAAAAAAATAGATTGAATTAATGGCCTATGGGCATCTGTATCTGGATCATGCAAACAAGGTTCATGGCTAAAATTCAAAGGCTTTGATTTACCCTGGTTTATTTCTACATCCATGCTTGATTCCAGCAAATATATCCTCAATGTTTATCATCACAAACAGGCTGTGGTATTAATCACAGAAAGTCATGCATGTACGTGTACGTACGAAGCAAGGACAGCGCAGCCGGCACAATACATGTATACAGATCTCTTGCATACTGTACATCCTTGTACATGTAGTGTACATTGAGCACGTGCGTACGTGTACAGTCATGTGCATGGTACTGGTACAATAAGGAGACCCCCAAAATTAAAAGAGCGCATGCTTGCAGTCGAGAGGGGGTACTGGTATTGATGTGCTATCAGGAAAACCGAACGACGCACACGTACAGACTGTGCATGAAACAGTGTACATGTACATGTATAGTACGTGCTGGCCGACCATAAATCACAGGACGTGCATGTCAGTTAGCAGTATGTGGGACTTTTCACTTGACACTTTTTGCAAACCGCAGAGCACGATGCCGACTTATACAGAGGAATTTGTGTGGTTTTGAGGAAATGGAACTGAAAGTAACACGCCGATATAGGCGAAATGGCGGCTTACAAAGGCCGGCTTAGAAATGAAAATGTCAACGGAAATACATTAGAGACAATCGGGACTTTCGTCAGACAGCCGATTTAAGCGATATGACAGTTTGTACGATGTCGGTTTAGCCGGAGTTTACTGTATACAGGCATGCAACTTTTCCGCGGATTCGCGGATTTCCGCGTTTTTTTTAAATCCGGCCGTGAAAAAATAAATATCCGCATTTTCGCCTTGTGTCAGTCTGCAGCGCCCGTGGAATCTTCCCGATATTGCGACTTCGCTCGCGCACAAAAATAATTTTGAAGTATATCGTCTGGCTACGCGTTTTGTGTACGTAAAATGGAATGAAAAAAGTGCAGGACACAGACTCCATACCCGTGCGAGTTATCCAGCATGTCGCACTGTAGCGCCCTTTATCGATTTTAAGCTGATAGTCTGGTTCCGCATTTTTTTCTCACGTTAATGAACGCGTAGGGATACGGATACTATACTACTGCACGCGCTGGATATAACTACGTTGGAAAAACGTATTGGAATTTGGAACATCGATCGAAATATTAAATGTACGTACGTGTGTCAAAATGACTTCAAAAGGAAGGGCATCATCGAACGAGAAAAAGGACAAGAGTATATCAAAACTGTTGATAATGGCATCAAAAATTCTTGGAAATGGGACTGGTTGGAAAGAGAAGTGGATCGAGTTCCTCTTAACAAAGCTGTCTGAAAACTTGATCGGCCAGGCATGGCGTATTGCTTGGTGTGCAAGAAGGAGATGAATTACGGCAGACACGGATTAGTAACGCTGCAAAGTGACGAAACATCGTGAACTAAATCAGCTACGAAAAACGAACTACCGTCTCCAAGGTAAGATATGGAATATTATCGGCCCAAATTTACATTAAACAATTATATTTTTGGTAAATTTTGAGATTGATTTTTTTTTTATGTGACTGTGAATTATGATTTTTTTTTAATAGGGATAAGGGGGAATTTTTTTTGTACAAATGTTTTGTTGATGTTTTCTTCATGTGCTATGTTTTAAGTTTTTGGCTCATTCAGTTTCAGAACAAAATAGTGGTGTTGTTTTATCATTTCAAATTTTTTTAGGGCCTATCTTTTAATTATTTTTGGAAGAAATGCTGCAACCTGACGCCACTTTTTTCTTCATATATCATCTCAATGAAGGTCATTCATTGCAAAAATGATGATGAAACATGAATTTAGGACCAAGTTATATTTCCTGACACTCCATAGACTTTGTACACAATCGCGGAAGTGGCGTCAGGTTGCAACATTTATTTATTATTTTTTTTATAAGAATAGGCCTAAATACCGGTAACTTATCACTCCACACGCCCCTTACCTTTTCCTTATACATTTATTTGATTTTTTCCTTTCACTTCTTTGCAGAAGTAGACAATGCTGCATCAAAGTCGCCTTATGGTCTGCATCCATTTTTCAAGAATGTTGTTTCTCCGGCCTCATCTGTTGCGAAGATGCCACAGCCGCACACGCCGCTGAGTGATCGGGTTGCTGCCACATCTGATACTGTTGTTGCCTTCATGGCAGAAAACAACTTACCCTTCACAATGGCCCCCAAGCTGTGCCAGTTTGCAAAAGAAATAAGCCGAGACAAGAAGGTGCTAGATAATCTGAAAATGAGCACATACCGCTGCATATCAGATAGAGTTTGGAGTCGCCAAAACTATGGAAGAAGAAATCATTTCAGATCTCCAGTCTGCATACTTTTCTTTGAACAGCAAGACATTCCATCGTGTTCTCAGTATCCTTGTGAGCTACTACTCATCATCACAGAAAAAAAGTTGATGTGAAACACCTTGCGTCAGTTTCACTTGTGAAAGTCAACAGCGAATCCATCTGTCTGGCAAATGACGATATCTTCACAAGAAAAAACATCCCATGGAAGAATCTTGTCTCCGTCTTGATGGATTTTTGTGCAGTGATGAGGGGCAGCAAGACTGGTGTTGAGGTTCGTCTCAGGGAGAAAGCCCCACATCTGCTTGATGTGGACGGTGATTCTTGTCATCACGCGCATAATGCTGCAAAGAAGTTCTGTTCGCACTTCAACAATGAAGTGGAGCATCTCTTCCGGAACATCCATAATGATCTGCAGTATTCAGCTGACCTGAGGAAGCATCTAGAAGAACTATAAGAGTAGTGCCTCAAGAGTATGCCTCTCATCGCTAGCTGTCGATATACAACATCACTGTTGATGGCAAACGCATGATGGACCCCTTGCTGGTGATGTATTATGGGTTTCTAAAGGGAGAAGACAAGAAGTTGTACCTAGATTTCATCACCAACATCTACAAGCAGCGCTCTGTCAACGCCTCAGCGAAGAAGCGCATTGGTGAGATTCATGCCGTTCTCCAATCCAAAAAATGACAGATGACGGTAAAAAAAAAAGCAACGAATCTGTGAGAAGCTGTTCTACCGGTCCAAAAACACGAAACTCATCATGAATGTGTACATCTCCGTCCTGCCCATGCTGAAATCCTACACAGTACTGTTTCAAACCAAAGATCCACTGGTTCACAAGTTGCATGAGAAACAGAAGCAGCTTGTGAGAGAGTTTCTGTGTGAATATACTCAAAAGCCTGAGGCCTTCACTGATACATCAGTAACCAAGCTGAAAGTTGATCAAACGATGATTTTCTTGGGAGGAACACAGAAGCAATTCTGAAAGGCCTCACTCAAGAGGATGGCACCTTGTTCAGGAGGAATGTGCTTGAGGCATATGTGGACTGTCCATCAGCCCTCCTGAACAAGATGCCTCTGAGGAACAAATGTCTCCGACTGTTGTCAGCAATTGATCCTGAGACAAAGGGAACCACACGCACCTTGTCATACATGAAGGAACTGCCTGGTGCTTTGAAGAATGTGCTCTCTGATCAGGAGCTGGATGAATATGACAAAGACGTCAGAAAGTCCCATGCAGATGGATCGCTGCCCCCACTGAGTGAAGGACAACGTATAGATCACTGGTGGGCAAAAGTTCTGGCCTCTGGCAAGTACAACGTGCTCAGCAAAATGGTTATGGCTGCACTGAGTATATTCAGTGGCCCTCAGGTGGAGAGTTCATTTAGTGTAATGAGCAAATCATGCAATCCAAGTCTTCAAGGCTTCAAGTACATGTAGAAACCTTAAGTGCTCTGCAAACCGTTAAATACTCCATACTAGCTAGCCACAAACCATCTCTTGCCCAATTTTTGAAGAAGGACTTTCTTCATGAGTCAGTCAACAAATCTCTTGTAGCCAACATGCGGATGGCAAGAGCAGAATCGCACAGACATCTTGCTGAGCAAAGAGCATCTGCCAAGCACCCACTTCAACATGCCAAGCCCCCAGCTTCGAAAAAAAGGACGCTAGAGGTTGCTGCCAAGGTTGCCAAGAAAGCCAGACTAACTCACATGGAGAAGCTGAAAACATCTAGAAGAATTCATTAGTTGGAGATATCGAGGTCACAACTATGTTTTATACTTCACAGAATAAAAGGTAAAAAAGAATCACAAACTTGAAGCATTTTGTGTATTTTTTAATGAAAAATATGCCATCAAAAAAGCTGGAAATGTGTCAGTCAGCTTTCCATCAAAGTTTTCAAAAACTGCTTAGAATGCACCACAGAGCATTTATATTTCAAAATTTTTTCGGGGCCCTAAGGCGGGCCCGGACCCCCGCCGTAAAGACTTCGCGCTACGCGCTCGCAGTTTCAGGTCGAACAGTTTCCTCTTTTTTAAAAATTGAAGAGTTCCATGCCTGTGTATGTGTTAAAATATTGGTTAGAAGCCATGCTTGTTTAATAAATTACCAGAAAATCTGGTAAATTTTTTGGGTCTTGCACAAAAAAATTTGCAAATAAGTCTTGCATTAATTTTTGGGTGTTGGACGAAAAAGGGGTTTTTGAATTAATTCCACTTTGGCTATCTACACTTCAGGGTCAATCAATGAAACGATTAACACTTTAAAAAAAAAAAAAAAAAAGGTCTGTGACGTGGGTCACAATACCGGTAGATAGTTTGGCCAGCATGGCTGACCACCTTCTCTGCCAATGGGTAAGCATGCAAATGTTCATGTGGATTGTACATCTATGCTTAATAGGCTTACCTTGCTGCAAACATGCATCTCTTGCTGCGATAGAGTTTGTGATTGATGATCTGGTAGTGATTACCTATTCCTCTTCCAAGGGCTTTTTTGAACTGCTCTTGTGTGATGCCACCCTTTTCTCTCCAAACTGACAAATCCTTCTCAATCACACTGAAAGACACAGTAAATGAACATTTAAATCAGACTATTATTCACACCATTGAGCTTGGAACACAAGGAGTTCAAACTTCCCGGGTCAAAAAATGTAGCCAACTGATGGTAGCATTATACACAGCGACCAACCAGTGAGAACATAAAACATTTCCAGCTCAAGGTCATGTACACTGTTTTTGCACTTAATCCGGCAATGGGGATCAGGTCCTGCAAATGTAACAAAACCACAGGGAAGCTAACTGCAAGTAAAATACAGGTATGCTGCGTATAAAACGTATACTCGATCTCGATCCTGCTTCGATCCACCATTTACAATGGAGGGCAGGTCTTTGAGTGCAAAATGGCCATTTTTACAAGTGATACAATCAGTGCAAAAACTTAGATTTTCATTCTATGTTTGTCTAATATTACAGTAAACCGAACTGGATGCTTTATTTAATATTATATTTAAAATTTGTCCACACTTGTCAATGAATAACATACTGGTAGCTTTCACTAACGTAGAAGCCAAAGTTGGTGTGAAGAAACAAGGAAAGAGAAAACCAATTTGTTCAGCAGGTGTGGCTGGTTTGAAGTCATGGTTAAATGATCAGGTGATATTTCTTTATAAGTATTGTATTTGTATTGATACAGCTAAGTCAATGGGATAAGGAAATTGTGTAAAGCATGGCTGAGATTTGTCGTGCACATAACGCCATATTTAATATGTCGAAAGTGATTATTAGAGCAATGCAGCACAGAATGCTTTGGTCTAAGGATGTGACGTTTACACGTTAGAGTGAAAACAATTCTAAATCCAGTTACAAATTTTACATTAAATGTTTAAAGGAAACCCGAATAATAAGAAAGGGACCTGCATTTACCGTTCACACAGTCTTTTTTTGAGTTAATGCTACATAACACAAATAATGAACGATGTTTTCAAACCTATTTAATATACAAAACCTTAAAAGCACTTCAGTTCTTGATTACTTTCGAAACACACAATTTAGATTGCATTTTTTCAATGACTACCATTGTTGATTTATCATGTCAATCACACCGGTATGTAGACATAATGATCGAGTATGCATCAGCCTTTGTGAATGGCTAAACGTTTAAAGCTACTGGTAGAGTCCCTCATTTGCAGCTATCCAAAAAGTAACTGACGAAACTATTGTTGAAAGTATACTCAGTTTAAAGATAGTAATGGTACTAAACTCCCTGTGAAATTATTTGTTCTCGCAAAATATGATAAAAAGATTAAGGCAGCCCGAGGGTTGAATTACATCAAAATGAACAAATATTCAAATAAACATACACATAAAACATTAAAAATAACAGCCCCATCAGCCAGAGTCAAGTTATCATCCATTATCAAGTCATCAACCTTTAACTCACCACAGTGACCTTGACCTTTGACTGAACTAATCCCAACTTGCCTGTACCCAAGGGCCTACCGAAGTTAGACACCCAAACCTCATTTCTAACTGAAGTTTCATCCAGAAACAATTTACCTTTGAACTCACCACATTGACCTTGAACTTTGACCTTTTGACCCCAAAACCAATTACAACTTGCCTAATCCCAAGGGCAATCCCCTAATGAAGTTACAATCCAAACCAATATTTCTAACTCAAGTTATCATCTGCATATAACAACAGACGGACGCCGTAGGCGATGACAATACCCCTCAAGCCGCTTGGCTGAGGGGTAAACAAAACCACTAAACCAAACCATATAAAATATATGCATATTTGTAAGTAAAAGTAGCGTCAAACAATTAAAAGACAAAACAAGACAAGAACAAACAGCACAAGTCACACTACAAGGATAAAAGCCACTGGATAATGAATAAAACCACTCGATTAACCCTAACCCACCTCACTCCTCCAAAATCCTCCTGGCGGTTTTGGAGGATTCTAGAGGATTGAGGATGAATGGTGATTGAATCAAATGAGGATTCTGGAGGATTGAGGATGAATGGTGATTGAAGCACATGAGGATTTTGGAGGATTGAGGATGAATGGTGAATGAAGCACAAGAGGATTTTGGAGGATTGAGGATGAATGCATTTTGAGGCAGGACTGTCTGATGATTTTGAAGGATTTGGCGTTGGTTATCCTTCATTTAAACACGAGTGCAAAGTTTTGGGATGAGGAGGATTTTGGAGGATTGAGGATTAATGCATTTTGAGGCTGGACTGTCTGACAATTTTGAAAAATTTAGGCGGAGTTGAAAAATTTTGGAGGATTTTGGAGGATTGAGGATGGTTGTAAGCAACAAGGGCCTAGGGGGTTAGGGTTAAAATATATACAGTCAGCTCTTTTCAATACAAACTTTGCTGAGACGAATTCCGGTCATAGCTAACATAAAGCCTCGGTCTAACTGTGCATTCATGTGCAAATTGAACTGGACTGATACTTCTCTTGACACAAAATTCGTTATTGCTGAGTTTGTATCAACAGGAATCGACTGGATAGCCTATTGATTTAATAATTTGGTTTTGTATCTGTTGGTACATCTAAGGATTGTGAGGAGATGGGAATTTCCGAGATTGTTATTTTTGCAGGGGGAGCCATTCACAAAATCTATTAGAATCCAGAAGTGAAATTTAGGGTAAACATCTCCAGTCTTTTGGATAATGGGGGATTCCTAAATCACTGCAAATCTCATCATAACGGTATGTTCGGTTCATACAGTAATCATAAGTAAGGATGATGCGGAACGCTTTCTTTTGCATTTTCTCTAAACATTCAAGTTGTTCCTGGTAAGACCAGAAAACCACACCTGGGAAGAATATTCTACAGCAGGCCTGATGTACTGAATACGGTTCTAAGGTCACACACAAGTATATTGCAACGTTTTAGTTGTCGTAAAAAAAAAAGTTTACGGTTAAATGATTTACACGCAGAGTTAACTTGGGCATCCCATTTAAGATTATCTTGGACATGGACAGCAAGGAGTTTAAGACAATTACTTTGGTTGTTAGGTGAATTACCGATGTGCAGAACCAGTGTAACAGGAGTGCGTTGGAAACAAATAGTCATAAAAATGTACTTACATGTAGCCGGATTCAACAACATGTTGCTGTTAGACTATTATGTTGCAGACGGTCAAGTATATTTTGCATGATAGTTGTTTCATCCACATTATCAAATGGTAAAAACAAATCATATCTTCAACAAATTTGTGACTCTGGCATCAACAGGCTTAGTCTAACCCCCTAGGCCCTTTTTGCTAAGAACCATCCTCAATCCTCCAAAATCCTCCAAAATTTTTCAACTCCGCCTAAATTTTTCAAAATTGTCAGACAGTCCTGCCTCAAAATGCATTCATCGTCAATCCTCCAAAATCCTCCTCATCCCAAAATTTTGCACTGGTGTTTAAATGAAGGATAACCAACGCCAAATCCTTCAAAATCATCCGACAGTCCTGCCTCAAAATGCATTCATCCTCAATCCTCCAAAATCCTCTTGTGCTTCATTCACCATTCATCCTCAATCCTCCAAAATCCTCATATGCTTCAATCACCATTCATCCTCAATCCTCCAGAATCCTCATTTGATTCAATCACCATTCATCCTCAATCCTCCAGAATCCTCCAAAACCGCCAGGAGGATTTTGGAGGAGTGAGGTGGGTTAGGGTTAATCATAGCTAAAAATGCTATAGATCCCATTTTTGTGCCCTGCGGAACACCTACATTGTTTGTTGCCCAGTCAGATAAAGGTTCCACCATTACGGACACACTGTGAGCGCTTGGATAAAAAAAAACTACAAATCCAGGGGATGAATTGGTGACTGACTCTATCAAAAGCCTTTGAAAAATGACAACTACAACCACACCGGATTGTTTAGGTTTGTCAGTTTCTCTACACACATCATCAAGCAGTGCTACCAGGCAGTGGGTGGTTGAGGATCCCTTGTGAACCAAACTGGCATGTGTCTAGTGATGGACTAATATCATTCATTATCCAATTAACTACAAAATCTTCAAACAACTTTACAAAAACAAAAACAAGAAATAGGTTGTAATTGTTCAATGTTGAGGGGGGGGGGGACTTTGGAACTTGGACGGTAATGGCTCTTTTCAGGACCCCACCTTCACGCGGAGAGCAGTTAAAACATTTTTGTGCATCTTCCCCACAGCTTCAAGTTATTTATTTCAAACTTTATTCATTCGCCAGATACCGAATTGATTTGGGCAAGTTGGCATAAGTTGTGGCGCTAACGGGCCCAAATGAAACATATCAAACACATAATGGACTCCCAGGTCCTGTACATGTACCGGTACGACAATTACCATTTGGCTCCCAGGCCAACCATTAATGATTGGGCACGCATGGCCAAGTCCACATCTGTGGGGGACAGCCATAGTTGCGCTATGTTAATACAGCACATCCAACCCTGGGTCGTACTACAAAGTTCAAATCACATTGTATTACTAAAAACATCAATATCAGTAACACTATTACAGTAGACATTTTATCATCAAATAAATGATCAAATGCTTTATAATTTATTCTCAGACTTTCTCAGTTGGAGTTTTAATTTAATCATGTATAAAAACAATGCCTAAGAAATTGCCACAGACTCACACTTGTCACACATCAAATTCATTGACTGAGTGAATACAGTTCACAATAAGAGATAAGCTGTGATGCATACAATCTACTTACAAGCTTTTGCTATTGAAGTCCCCTTGTAGAATTCCACTACACAGGGACACACTGTGCACTGAGTTGTCAAACTTTTTCATGAACATGATCAATATGCATTACCAGGTGGTAGTGTATGTAAGCTACATGTATGTATGGTTGCAGACCAGTAAATCGGTCTGAAATTGCCTACGCCGGCCAAATCACGATTTGCATGCCCTCAAAATCTTCAGTATTTGAGCATGCTGTGGGCCATGAACTTGAGTGTTTGTAAAAAATAGGGGTGGACGCCGTGCACAGGACTGTGAGTTTGTAGTTCCGTTCAATTTCGATGAAATTGGGGCCCTTAAAGCGCTCTATTTTGCAACATTTGGAGTGTAGGTATCGTTTTTTTAAAATGGCGATGGGCTTCAGGACTATTTTCAGGGGTGATCATCTTCGGATGGAAATTTCTCCTAAAAGTCATCAGTTGACCCCCAGAAAATTGAAAAGAAAATGAAAGATGATGAAATAGGCTTTAATTTGATGTGTGTCTCGAACACCTTGGAGAGTTGTGAGTATTTTTCCCGAATTTCTGAAGTGGGAGCATTTACTATTGGGGTCTATGGAAGTTTATTTACTGGTCTGCAACCTATAATTTCTTCTTCTTCTGGCTTCTTCCATCGTTTGTTGTCAAACGTGTGCACATGCGCTTTACATTCCAGGACAGTGGTTTTTCGGGGGGGGGGGGGGGGGTGGGCAGCATTTCAAAAGGGGTCACCAATGGGAGTAACTTACAAGAAATTCCTAAAACACAACCCGATCAACTCCTGGCTATAATTACATCTCATGCGGTTGAGCGCCTTCGATGACTTATCAGTATAGTTGGTTTCCCGGATTTACGATTGTATATAGGCGTTCTGGTTCTGGCATGAACTGCACTTCACGTTGGCTTGTGCCACTGAGTGGACACCCATTTAAATTAGACATAAAAAGGGTCATAGGAAAAGTAACCTCGTAATGCAGTCTGTAAGTGGGAATCCAATCTTCAGGTTGGCATGAGATAGCAAGCTTGGGGCCAAAAATACGTTCTCATTTTTCTCAACGAGTTTTGAGTTTTCGTAGCCGTAGGCTACCCGAGAGTTACGTGAGCGGGAAGAAAAAGGCTGGAAAACTGATGTGGATATTCAATGATGCGAAGGTTTAATTAATCCCAGACACGTGGCATTGTTAAGTTGGCAAATTAGATAAAGCAAAGTTTGTGTTAATAATTATCCGCCGTAGGCTGTAACATATAAGGACCCGTGGTGCGAAATCAGACCAGCACGACCCAAATTATTGGGTAATGTGTATATTATTACTTTACTAGATTTTGGGTTTATTCAAGGATTTAGTGGAGAACAGTATTTAGTTGATCACATGTCTTAAGGGTTTCATACAGCCTCCAGTAAATTACCAGTCGGCCACAACAGTACTGGTTCACCAGGCCACCAAAAAAAAAAAAAAAAAAAAAAAAGAAAATGGAGGTATGGGTGTTTGGATGGTTTGAGCCCAGGGAGAGAGACGTGAGATGGTCCATTTGTCAAATTTTGAGTGGTAGGCCAAGGGTCAGCACAAACGGACGAGCCACTATCGCCGGGGGTGCTGGCTCACGTCCATTATCCTTGGAATGATGGATCTCAACCAATCTCCCTCCATGGGCTCTTGTGCTGCGGATAAGTGATTTATCCGCAGCGTTTATCAGCTTGCGAAAAGCGATGGCGCTTCTAAGTGTGAGAAGCGATTGCGCTTATTTTTGCGACAAGCGACTGCGCTTCTAAATGTAGGGACATCTATAGTCCCCTGGGACTTGTGAGAGGCGATTGCGTTTCTAACTGCACGTACGGATATCCGTAGTCCATTGGGACTTTTGGAGAAGCGATTGCGCTTCTAACTGGATGGATATCCGTAGTCCATTGGGACTTGTGAGAAGTGATTGCGCTTCTAAATTAGTGTAGGGATAGCCGTATAGTCCCTTGGGACTTGGGTGAAGCAGTTGCGCTTCTAGGTGTAGGGATATTCGTAGTATTGGAATGTTATAACCGTTAGCATGTAAGTGGTAACTATGGGAATTTATTTAGCCATGCTGGTAGTTACATGGACCTGTTAATTATTAGAACTGGTAGCAGGTAAATTGTACATGTGATTGTTAAACCGTGCTTGTTGGACTGTTTCAAGCGAATAAATTATTGCCGAGTGACCACAGTGCTTTTCTACGGTGTGATTCTCTTCACAAGGACATTTGCTGGGGTGATTGTACTGGGGATCAGTGTGTTGGTGCTGTGCACAATGATTGGATGGCATGCAGCAGGTGCGGTTGAAATCAAAGAAATGTGGGGTATTTATTCCGATGTTTCCTCCTTTTTGCGACAAAACAAATGGCTACAAAATGTTAAGTTTGAATAACTGCTTCACAAAATCCAATCGGATACTGGAATTCAAACTAAATCTTGGAGAATACCTAGAGATTAAAATTCCATACCGACTCTGTCATTATTTAGGTACTGCAGCAACATCACTCGGTATTGTTCGAGATTAAAAAAATACTGTGACTTTTCAGGATTACCAAAATACTGTGCATCCCTAATGTACATACCTGTCATGACATGTGCAAGAATCTTGCTCACAGTCCTTATACTGCATTACAGCCGAGCTTATTGCATCAAGGTAGGGTTGCCATTTTGCTTCTGAAAATGTAAGAATTAAAATTCAGTTATCCTGGAATGTTACAATCGCACCTTGGGATATTTAAATTGAAGTCACGATTGACGTGTCACTGCTGCCGCTCTCCAGCAAACAACCATCAGTATGGTCTTGTGGTGTGCATATTTGAATAATTTAGTATTTGATAATTCAAACTTGGATTTAATTGAATATTCAAATATTTGAAAAATTGCATGCAGTGTGTAAATATGCATTGTACTTTCTGCATAGACTAAGCGAAACCCAGACTTGGGCCAAGTCTATGTCACTCTAAAGAAATTTTATAAAAAATGGGATGGGACCCAATACGAAGGTGTACAATTTTTGGTTTATCAGAATTTTTGAAAGGTAAATTCCTCTGAAACGGGTTTGCTCCATCAAACAAATGCACATATGTTGTTGTTCCGACGGGTTGACGGCTGTTTCATGTCTGCAGCCAAACGCTTGTGATGCAGTAGCGCATCTGTCAGCTTGGTTCAGGATTTCTTGTACACTTAACCATTATTGGCGCAGCGCGATTAGAGGACTGGAAACTTGTCTAAAACGTTGTCTATTTGGCTGTGACATGATACATATAAAACAACTGTCAACAACTCGGAACAACTGGTGCCCTGCACGAATCTCAGTGGTGCCTTAGCAGATATCATCATATGCACATGCGTTCGGTTACCTCAAGGGTTCTCACCATTTTGTAAGTAAAGGATTCAGGGTACTGTGCATGACTTTTTAGAAATGTGATAAACCACAAATTGTTTATGTCCATATCAATTCCTATTTTTGTCTCAAATTTCTTTGGAATGACAGATCCTGTGCAAGCATGGATTTACAGATAGCCTCATATGTGAGTACATAACATGCAGATGCTCATAAAACATTTCGGATGTTGATCAAGTGTTTAGACGCAGCTATGTTACGTGGCGGTTTATACATGTACCGCCATGTTTACAGATCTAGCACCCCAGTAACTGGATCTAGAGATAATCAAGTGAAAAATACAGTCCCAATTTAGATTTTGTTAACACGGCCTTTCCTCAACACGACTCTTGTGCGCGCGCTATTTTGAGAAATAAGTTGAAGTTTTCATGGATCTCTTCTTTTGATTAATACTGCCCTCTTGTGTATTCTAAGTCAATAAATACCACCCTCTATTGATATGAGAAGCCCCACAGCTTTTTTTTCTGAATCAAAATCGGTCAAGAAATGAAAAAATCATGTATGTTTTGCCGTTTTTGACCCAAAATTTAGTAAATTTCTCATTTTGTAAGAGGCTAGAGATCCAGAAAATTGGAGGGGGGGGGGATTTCTTGAGACCTGTATTATAAGATTCCTTGTTTCTTTTTGTGTAAGAAAATGTGGATGTTGTTCCTGCGCATGAGTGTGCCTTGGGCCAAATCAGCGTTTGTAAAGGCGAGTGACAATTGATGATAACTGACATTCCGTGACGCCCTGATTATGACCAGGTGCAATTCGCCAGCCGCATGTGCGGTTCCTTTAATGATGATAATATACCAACATGACCAATTTTTCATAAATAAAACTTATGTCCATTTATGACCAACAGATATAAAATATAGGAAGTTGATCATCATCATTATTTTTTTTAATTAATAAAAAAATATCAATGAAATCCTCATGAATACAATATGGGAACTACTGATACTAGAGTGTCTGATTGATAGGGGAAGCAGGTTGGCCGGGGTGGGGTGTCCAAGTTTGGGGTGGGGTGAGCCGGGTGGGGTGTTGAGGCAGGGGACCAGGTGGGGGTGACAAGGAGTGTGGATGTGGGGTCTGAGATGGGGTGGGGTTGTTTGGGTGAGGTGGGCCGGGGAGGGGTGTGGTCTGTGGGGTGGGGATGATACTGAATGGGGTAGAGGTACGTGGGTTGTGTTGAGGTGGTGGGGTAGGGTGATACTGATAGGTGGGTGGAAGTGGGGTGGGGGTGTGTGGGGTGGGATGTGGTGGGGTGATTCTGATAGGGGTGTGGAAGTGGGGTGGGGGTGTGTGGGGTGGGATGGGTGGGGTGGGATGTGATGGGGTGATTCTGATAGGGGTGTGGAAGTGGGGTGGAGGTGGGTTGTGTTGGGGTGGGATGTTAAGGGGTGGGGTGATGGTGGAAGTAGGGTGGAGATGGGTTGGGTTGGGTTGGGTTAGGATGGGTGGGGTGGGGGTGATACTGATAGGGGTGGGAAGTGGGGTTAGGGTATTATTCAAGTCCTTGAATAAGAGCCCTTGGGATTGTACTCGCATGTAATTATTTATAAAAATGGAAATGTTGTAAAACATGTTTGTGTTCCATTTCTTTTATACCGATGAGATTAGTCTTTCTGGATCAGCGATTCTTATGATTCCGTGTTAAATAATGTCAGGAGTGGATATGGCAATATCATTTGCACCATTGTCTTTCTCACATCAAAAGCTTTAATATGATGCAAAGTTTGACTACTGGTATATTTGAACTTAAAGGAAATGTACAACATTTGTTTTTGCTGCAGTTTCCAGAAATAAATGGATTTGGAAGATTAGAATGTTATAGCAAATATTGTTGAACTGACTTGTTAATAATAATAATACTACTACTTATTACCCTGGATTGGACATTTAGGAGACATCCCGAAAGACTTGTGCACAAAATTTGTCAAACTTAAATGTGCCCTAACCCAATATTCCCTTGTCCTTTTTCCACGAATTTCGGTATGTTTACTAAAAAGACCACAAGCAACAAATGCATGTACCGGTATAACCTAATTGCGACAATAAAATGGTGCCTCTAAAGGGGGCTGTGACAGAGAGACATGAAAATGTCTCCCTAATGACCAATGTCTCCCATCGTGCAAAGAAATTACAATAACGTGTCTCCTTAGTGGTACCTTTACACGTAAAATAATAACCATATTTATTTAGCGCCTTTTTCTAAAAGATACAAAGCGCTGAGGGAGAATGCAACCAAAGACAGATAAATTAAATATATGAACATACATGTATGAGACCCATTATGTAGCACCTTTTTGCTAGGTGCTGCAACAAGTGTTACTGGGATCTTTAAGGTGCATCACACAACACACGGGACCTACGACTTTACGTCCCATGCGAAGGAGGAAGCAATAATGGTAAAGTGCCTTGCTCAAGAGCACAAGCACCATGTTCCCATATTCAGGATTCTAACCCATGTACCACGGCACACGAGTCGAACACCATAACCCCTTTAATCACAGCACCCCAACTTGTTTCACGTTTTGGGCTTGTGGATGCTGGAAAAACCAAGAAAGCCAATATGTTTTTGTAGTCTAGTTCCCTGACCCCCTAAGATGAAACAAAGCAATTTGTAGACTTTGGGGAACTATAAGGTCAGAGGATCAGTCTGGAAGGCTTGTACTCCTTCACAGGTGTGTAGTCAATTGCAAAGAAAATGCGGACAACTAAATATGAAAAATTAGGAGAAGTTTTTGAACCAGTAAGGTATTTCGTATTAATTTGATCATTTTGTTTTTTGATGTTTGCAAATGTTGTTTCTTCCCTTAAAATAAACTGTGTGCTCATTTAATAAGGGACACAGTCACATTGACTCAAATTTCGACCAGAAGAATCATGGAGTAAGGCGTTTTTGGAGGACATAACTCCTTAAGCAAAGCACCTGTGGCAATATCGTTTGTATCAGTGTCTTTCTCAAATCAAGAGCGTTAATATGATGTAAAGTTTGACTTTATTTGAACTTAAAATAAACAGTATGCTAATATAATAAGGGAAACAGCCACGTTTACTGAAATGACGACCAGAAGAGTTCATGAAGTATTGCGTCTTCGGGAGGGCAAAACTCCTGATGGGAACCTTTTTGACATTTACAATGCATCATGGGAGTGGATGACAAACATTGCCCGAAATTTATGTGCAAGTCTATGTCACGGCAATGATCGAGTTCGGCAATGAAATTTTCACACACTGTTTCTGTAAAGGTACAAAGAGAATAACTACCTTTTGGTTTGGTAAACATGTGAGTAATTCAGGAGGAATCGGTGGGGATTCCCTTCCAAATTGGATGACCGTAAAATCCCTCGATCGGCTGTGTGTGCGGTGTGCGTGTGGCCGGCCGTGCACAGCTAGCCACGGTGAACCTTCATTGGGGATTTTTTTAAACGAACACGACAAAGGGTGAAAAACAAGATTTCCCATGATATCAATTTGATCCTGAAAAGAAGTTGGATGACAAATATCATTTGAATGTTGATGTCCATGGTTGATTTGTTCCTCTTTCTGTATAAACAGATGTTCCTTACAGCTTCTTGAGGACTTTTTGTAAGTTTCTTTTAATAGGGCAATGTATTTTTTTGTAAAAGGCCCATATTTGCCAGTGTTGTTGTTTGGGTTTTTTTGGAACTGTTTTTTTTTTTTTTTTTCATAGGTTTTATCCATTTCATTTTTTCATCATTTCAATCTTTTTTTATTCTGGAATGTGCATACATTTTGTATATATGTCCTGTTGGAAAATACTAATAAAATATTATGTCAGTCATTTTTAATACTAACGGTTTCCTTTCCTTTCACAAGGCATTTGCTCATTATGCTGCTCCACCATTTTTTATTCCAAATTTATTTGCTGCTTTGTTTTACTGCTGGAATTCTTGATATTTTTTTCCTAATTGAAAGTTGCAGTTCATGTTTAGCAACTACCGGTACCTGCAAGTTGTTCTTATTGCAAATTGTTTGATTTTCTAACTGCAAAATGCTGTTCACAATATCAGAAGCATTTTTTTCTAATTTTCAGCTTAATTTGGCAAATACCTGAATACATGAATGTATTGCCTTATTCGAAGAGTTCGGAATTTAATAGGCTAGGATTTTTGAATTAGGTTGGAAATCGCATTTTTATTGTAACAATCAAGAGATGTAGAACCAGACAAATTAACCCCTTGAATGTACATGTATTCGGAGTCTCTCTCTCTCTCTCTCTCGCTCTATCCGAGGCTAGGAAAATAAGGCAAAAAAAGTG